ATTAAATTTTGTTCACATGTTTTAGTGTGAAAGATTGTATGGTTTAAAGTTACCTATTAAATTTTGTTCACATGCTTTAGTGTGAAAGATTGTATGGTTTAAAGTTACCTATTAAGTTTTGTTCACGTGTTTAAGTGTGAAAGATTGTATGCCTTAAAGTTACCTATTAAATTTTGTTCACATGCTTTAGTGTGAAAGATTGTATGGTTTAAAGTTACCTATTAAGATTTGTTCTCGTGTTTGAGTGTGAAAGATTGTATGGTTTAAAGTTACCAATTAAGTTTTGTTCACGTGTTTGAGTGTGAATAATTGTATGCCTTAAAGTTACCTATTAAATTTTGTTCACGTGTTTGAGTGTGAAAGATTGCATGGCTTAAAGTTTTGTTCATGTGTTTTTTTGTCTGGTTTAAAGATATCCTGGTGTTGTTCATTTGTTATAATATGAAAGATTGTCAAGTTTGAAAGTATCCCAGGTTTATGTGTTTTATTCTGAAATTTTAATCTGGTTTAATGGTGTTGTAGATTTATTTTTTTTTCATTTCTTACATGTGAAAGGCTGTTTGAAGGTATCCTACATTTACTTTTGTGAATATATTGAAGGTGTACTGTTTTCGTATATGTTTTTAATGTAATTGATGGCCCGTATTGAAATTGTGTTTTTTGAATTTGCAATCAATGGAGAGTTTCATTTTAAAATAAATTTACTGTATTATTATAATTAGCCTGCGTGAAGATAGTGTTAACAACATGAAGAACATACGGAAAGAAAACAAACTCTACTCATACAAAGAGCAGTTGGAAGAATTAGAGTTACGGAGGGTGAGAACGTACTGTTTAATTATTGCTAAACTTATCTCGATTCATTTGTATACGTAAAGATTAAGGTTTTTGTTATCATCATGTTGAACCATCGCTTTGCTTGTAAGAAGTGGGAGAACACCAAAAAATCCTTTAGACATCTGTGAACATAAGAACAAAAACACAGTTTTTGTAAAGAGAACATCACCATATTAAGACTAACAGAAGATAAATCAAAGAAGAGTTTATTAATAAGTTCAAACAATTCCACAATCAATACACTTAGGTATGACTCAGATTCTTTTCTCATCACTATTCTAAAGGATATTTCTAAACTTACCCAAATTTTTCTGACAGAGTATCCCATATATGTAATTTGTGCTTTTCATTTATCCACGAAATAAATAAACAAACCATTAATCCACACAAATTGATATGCATACATAAGTAGTTACTACAGAATCTCTAGTTTACCACAGATTATCCTAAATAGCTTAAAGCTTTTAACAGTATACATCAGTTTATACTTACATTTTATTGCCCTTTGAACCATGTCTAACTAATAATCCTGCCACACAAGTTGTGAATCACTTTGTGAACACGTAGGTCACATTACTATATCTTATCTAACGCACGAGCTGCAAACAAGTACAAAGGTCATAACTAGAAGAGATAATTGTTTGCTTTACTTCTTTATTTACTGTTTTATGTTTTAGGAAAAATAACTTTAAGAACTTGTTTCTAAATAGCAATAATCTATATACATATATAATGTATAATAATTGAAATGTGACTGTATTTTACAAAATACTAGTCTACTAAAACACAGCCAAGACAAGTTACTTTGTACAGACCAAAGGTCACCTTTATGTTATTTGATATGGTAACATGAGTGCATGAGCCACATCATTGTAACGTCTGTATTGTTAGCCAGGTATGGCTAAAAGGTCAATGTAATAAAAATAATAAATATATATAAATGTATAATGTTATGAGATTTAAGCTATTTTGTCTAAACATTTATGTTTTCGTGTTATAATTTGTGTTCATTCTAGAATGAAAGATTCATAATTTATGTTTATTTCCTAATTTTTTTATGGTGGTTGTGAGATCGGTCAAATTTACCGAACCCGTACAGAGATTAATTACTGAAAATAACAGATAAAATATAAAGTTTTTTCTTAAGAAATGTTTGATAACTATCTCGACATTATACCTTGTCTCATAAAAAAGATGCTCATGCGCACGCATGTGAATAAGTAATAATACCCAGGTGCACACCCTCAGGGTTCACTTAGTATGGGTACAAAATGTTATGTTTCTAGGTTCTTTCCTCTTGGAGTTATGGCAGTCACACACACAGAGATACGCTCTTTTATCATTATAGATTACTATTAGTTTACATGTAATAATACCCAGGTGCAAATCCTCGGGGTCCACTTAGTATGGGTGCAAAATTTCGTGGTTTTTAGGCTCTTTGCTCTTGGTACTACTTTTCACATCTTGCCTATCTATCATGCAAAGTAATTTTCGTTTTAACATTAACAATACTTTTATGCATCAGAAAATTTTGAAATTTCACATGCAAAATCAATGTAAGGAACCACTTCTTTTCTGTGTGGTTTTTGCTACCTTGCCTCATTAAAAAGATGTGCACTCACGTGGATAAGAAAGTAATAATACCCAGGTGCAAAACCTCAGGGTCCATTTAGTATGAGTGCAAAATTTTAGGTTTCTAAGTTCTTTCCTCTTGGAGCTATAGTAGTCACATTTCTTTTATATGCCGTTTTTCCATAAAAAAAAAGATGCGCACGCGCACGCGTGCAAGTAGATAAGTAATAATATCCAGGTGCAAATCCTCAGGGTCCATTTAGTATGGGTGCAAAATTTCAGGTTTTTAGGTTCTTTGCTCTTGGTCACATATTCTTCTCTATATGGTTTTTTGCTAGCTTGCTTCACAAAAAGATGCGTTCATGCACGCGCGCATTCACGTAAATAAGTAACAGTACCAAGGTGCACATCCTCATGGTCCACCTAGTATGTGTGCAGAATTTCAGGCTTTCCCCTTGGAGCTCTGGTGGTCACACGTCTTTTCTATGTGGTATTTCGCTAACTTACCTCATTAAAAAGATGCGCGCGCACACGCACGTGTATAAGTAATAATGTAGAAGTGCACACCCTCAGTGTCTACTTAGTATGGGTACAAAATTTCGGGTTTCTAGGTGCTTTCCTCTTGAAAATACAGCAGTCACATATTCTTTTGTATGTTGTTTTCCCTCAAATTATAGATATAAATCACAGACAGCCATGGATGTGTGTGCGTGTACATGTGCACATCTTTTTAATGAGGCAATATAGCTAAGAATCACATGGAAAAGAAGTGGTCCTTATATAACAACTAATATGTAGAAAAGCCAGAAATGCGTTTCAGTAATGACTTTTATATCATGCTGTTTAGTAATAAAAGTATAACCTAATATTGTTGTTAAAAGGCTATGTGCTGAAAGTATAAAATGAAATGTATATACTACAAAATCGAAAACATTATTTGTTGTTTTCTGATTTAGACGCTCCGTAATTGAGGTTTGTTTTTATTATTTGTTTTTATTATATAAGTATATTATCGGAGGATAAGTCAGAGGAAAGGTTACCTTTATAAACAGGCCACATCCCATAAAGGAGCAACAAAAGTATATATATTATACTTTTATGCTGAAATGGGTTCAGAATATACACACTAACATGGTCATCTAGAATAAATCAACCTAATAACCCGAGTGAAAGGGCGTGTTTGTGTGTAACCATCATAACTCCAAGAGAAAGAATCTAAAATCCTGAAATTTTGCACGCATACTAAGTGGACCCTGAGGGTGTGCACTTGGGTATTATTACTTATTCATGTGCGTGCGAGCGTGCATCTTCTTAATGAGGCAAGCTAGCGAAAAGCCACATAGTAACGAAGTGGTTCCTTATATAACAACTTCTAATATATAGAAAACCAGTGCATTTTGGTAACAATGCATTCCAAGAATGGCTTTTATGCCATGTTGTTTAGCAAGAAAAGTATATAGGTAATACTTTTATGCTAAAATGGGTTCAGAATACACACACTGCCATAGTTATCTAGAATATATCAACCTAATAACCCACAGTTTAATTCTGATTTGGGTGAAACTTCGCACAGTTTTTCAACATCATAAGGGAAGTTAATAAAAAGTTTCATTACAATTGGGTCTAATATAAAAAAAAAAGTTTTAGTGCATGTGTCCACTTTTTTAAAAAAAAATAAGTCAATAACAGCTTTATTTCGCACCAAAATGAAAAATATTATATAATAGGCCCAACTAAAATTAATGAAATAATAGGACCTTATATTTTATAACATTTTCTTCCTAAATTGATTCCTTAATGGAGAAATGGTACTTCTTTCCTTTTTAATAATGTACATTAATTTTGTACATTTATTATTATCAACGAAATTTATTTCTTTAATCAAATTTCTAAAATTGTGATAAAGCGAGTTTAATGCAGAATTTCAGAATGAGTTGTCCTAGTGGAGAATCATCGTGATATTTCAGAAGAAAAGTGATTTTTTCTGCTGGAGAATCCAAACATACACTCCCTCCGAATTAAATTGTTCTGTGACCAAAGGAATCACTAGCCCTTCCTACAGATTTCGTTGCATACAAATTTGCAGGAATTTTGTAGTAACTCGATCTTTGTAAGTTACACTTTTTTTTCAATATTTTTTTACTTCAATTGGATTATAAAGTGAATAAAAACATCGAAAATCACGATGCCAAACGGAGAAAGTCTGAAACTTTGAGAAAGAAAATGAAACATTAGTATGCAAGTTACAGAAAGATATAGGCTTGCTCACCAAATTATGAAGATAGATCCAATGAGTAGAAGCCAGGAACAAATCCGAAATACAGAAGCACATCAAATTGCTCGCCAAGATGCAGTTAAAAGAAGTGAGGAGCAATTTCATGACAGAGAAACACATCATTCAGCTCGCTAAGATCCTGACTAAACAGCCGCTTTTTGGGCGTCGTTTCTGTTACTAGTACACAGCTATAGAACAGTAGCAGAGAAGTTTTTTTTGTTGTTGTTGTTGCCCTGTTTAATTTGTGGGAGAAGTGGTACCAGATGTTTTGTAACTAGCGGTGTTGATTATGATTATCAGGTAATCTGTGTTGCTGTCTGGGTTCTGAACTTCGGCTATAAAGTCGAAGATCATGTTAATGATGGCGGTAATAAAAAAGGCTGGAGTTCGAGCTAGTTGTCACATTTTTTGTGGGTCGACTTCCGACTTTGTTTGTGAATGTAGTGTGTTGTGTTTTGTCTACACGGTTAGTTGCTGGTTCTTTCGCTGATTGTTTTGTATGTGCTTTAGCAGATGCAGCGTATGTTCTTATGGTTTGCGATTGTATGTTTGGAGTTGTTGGTAAGGGTAATATTTTGCTTGTTTGTGTTTGTGGGGCTGAAGGTGTTTGTTTCTCCTGTGTGTTGTGTTTCGTGGATCGCGGCTTCCTTTCAGGTGGTTCATGTTAAAGTTGCATAATTACGGAAAAGAAGGTATATACGGATAGTGTGTATTCCATTGTGGTTCACCAAGATTTATTAGAATACATAACTCGTCATCAAAATACTGGTATTGTTTTAGTATCAATCAAGTTTTAAGCCATCCTCCTAGATTTTGCTAAATACAACTTATGCAGGCGTTCTCCTACGACTTCAAATAATTTCAAATCCAGAGATTTAATAGATCATACTTGCCCCGAGGCATTTGTAACGTGTATCACAACAACGAAAAATGTTAAGTACTGAAATAAATATATGAACCAAATGTTCTTTAAGTATACAATTAATGTTTATTTATTTTAACAAATATAAATATTGTCACACCATTAAATAATTATTTCAACGTTTATTTTAGCTTCAAAACATTTTGGTATTTTCAACAACCGTGACAATTTTCTGTATGCATGTTGTACTTATCAAACTTGCAACACTTGAAATTGAAAACATGACTGTATCTATGGAACACAAAGCTAACTAAAATCTTAAGATAACATCTAGCAATCTTAGTAACAAGCTTAATTTCTTTCCAATCCCCAAGCCATTTTTGTGTTTTCCAAAGTAACTGAAATAATGATATAACCAATAATTACATAGTACAGTTTTCAATGTAAATACATTGTATTGTTGGGTTGCGAAATAAACTTTACACCATCTAAACCTATTTTCATAAACATCATGATTTTCAAATTGTATTGACATGTTATTAATAATTTCCGTTGTTTAATCAACTTTGTGACGATATTACAAAACGTGTACAGTATAGGTGTACTCGCACCCAGGTATCAACCTTTTTAATAGAAAAGAGCGTAAGAATTGGTAAAAAAAAATTTCAACTTTTATTTACTTCTTCTTACCTCGATGTTTATCCCAATTCCTTAAATATAGGGGTGTTGTTAGTTCAAAAACATCATGTAATATTGAGACTATTAATAAACATGATTGGGTCATTTGTAAAAATCACGCACGTACGCGAGAGGGGGGGATCGCCTATTTTGATGATGAAAAAAAAAACATGTTTATATAGTTATAATGCAGCTGCTTATGATATTTAACATTCTCTTCATAGTCTACATTCTTCGGATGAGGCATTAGTATTTTTGGCTTGAAATAGTCGATACAATAGCTTCTGTTGACACTTTGTAATTGGGATCCCGCAGACGCTTCGCACAGTATGTGTTGGCCTTTGATCTCATAAATTAGAACCCCCTTTCAAACATTCTGCGTACGGGCCTATTGTAAACTTTTTTATTTTCTAAAAAACTGTGTTTTTAGTTACAGGGTCAAATCCAGCTTTTATTGCTTATTCACCTTTAATACACGTAAATAGGAGTATTGAAATTAGAAACTGACTTTTAATGGATGTAAATTGAAATTTTGATACATACTATATCAAAAAATCCAATTTTTATATCGTTAATGAGCGTTTATTTGATCCTCTAATTCAAATCACCAATATTTACCGATTTCATTTGTATGGGATTTTCATAACCTGTTCTTAGTAAATCATTACAAATCGTAATTCAAATGAACACATTACATTTCTAGCTTCTTTATGGCAGGTAAGGTACGAGAACGATTTTATCAAACTGTCGACCAAAAAATACAGTAAGATCGCCGTCTACTACCGGCACCGATACCGCCTGCAGACTGCCACAAGCCACGTGCGATAATACGAGCTGATGGATAGATCAACTATTGACGATCTCAATCTTTCATAGTTCGTGCCTTTAACTACACATATCTTAACAAACAACACTTTTTTCAACACCAACTTGCATACCACACATTAAGAGTAAGCTAATTTACCTCTGTTTAATGTAATTCAAAGAATTAATGTTAGTTTTAGGTGAGCGCAGAAAAAAAGTCCACGCTTTCTTTTAAACTTAAAATTTTCAAGCTTTCACATTATGTAATAAAAAGCACGTGCTTTATCCTTGTCAGGCAAAAGCTGTTTCAAATAAGAATTTTGAACTAAATTATTTTTAAATATGTAATAAGCACTGTATGGTATTTTTTCGTAACATTTCTCCATATTTGTTACTAATATTTATTCGCAGAGTCTCTCACATATTATATCTTTCCTTGTGAAATCGCCGAGTTCACTGAGGTCTCACGTAATTGCTGAATTTACCACTAGAGTCTTCTAATTACAGCTGAATAATGACGTCATACAGTACGCTTGTCATTGGTGTAGCTTGTGGTGAGCCTGTGTGTTTTTGTATTTGTTTTATTGAGTTTAATTTAAATAAATTGAAAAACGTAACATGTGTTGTAATTTTATCCAGGGTATAAGTATCATTAAGAGATCCCAACTGGCGGATTTTTGTGTTTGTGGTACCGTGCTTTATGGATAACAATGTGCATAAAATTTCAACGTGATTTGGACATGACCCCTCAAGTCACGTGCCAAGCGATTTAACGTCACAGAAATGGTCTTCGGCTGAAATCGACTCTACGCAAACAGAAAGTTGTGAGGGGAAATACACCAACGTTCTAGGCTAACACTAACGTGCGTTACTGTAATGGGAGAAGGATTCGAAAGAGAGCACGTGGCTTTACACAATAGCAAAAATTATTAGACAGTTAAGAAATGGAACCACAACAAGCAAAAAGAAGACTACTGGTTTGTATACGGAAATAATGATTTTTTTTTCAACACAATATTTTGTCGGCGTTTTACATTTGCTTTTGTCATTATCTTACCTGTACATGATCTCATTCAACGCATCAATAGGCTATGCCACACTTGTAGCCATTTTGTTTAACATAATTTGTGAAATTGACAAGTGCATCAGAAAGATCAGTCATTATACACAGAGTAATTTTATAATAATAATGGTTTACGTGCTTAACAGTTGACAACTTGGTGTACAAAATATATAAAGCGACAAAATGTTGAACAACTAATGTATATTTGAATATATTAGTAGCCTTCCCATTGGTTAACGTTATTTAAGAATTAGAGTTTTATATACTAAAATTCATTACAATGAAATTAGTCCTTGAAATTTGATAATTTGACCTTCAAATGTGTATAAATAATTTATTCGTAAGTTAAAAATTATGTACTACTTTACAGAATTTCCCCAATTGATCAGTAATTTAAATGAACACTACAAAACCATATACTGATACTGTAGTAAGAAATAGATCAGCTGCGAAAATATTAATCTTATTATCGTGAACCATTACCATAAACGTAATTATGTTAATACGATGATTGCAATTACTAAGATGGTTTGACTTGACAGTGAAAGCGTTGGCTTTGTACGTTTTTTACATTTACCATTGTTGTTTTTCGTATATTAAGTACTGTTTTGAATGTCCATGTTAGTATATGTGTGTGTGTATATATATATAATGTGTTTTTGTGTGTATAATCATAAACTTGTATAATGTTTACACTTTTCACAACATGATACATTAAAAGTAAATTGTTTTGTCAAAAGTTAGGTATGTCAATAAGTACCTATGTATTAAAAAATGTGTCAACCACCCATGGTGGAAAAAATGACACCTTTCTTTTGTCATTTGCGCAAAATTTATTCTTGATTAATTAGGCTAGATTGTAAGTGTTACAATCGTGATAGAAAATGTTTGCGACGTGGTTATGAACAATAGTAAATGTTGTTCAATGCACCTTGTGTTTGCCATTATTCAGAAAGACAACAATGTGTGTTATAGATATGTAAATGACGCTCAAATAAGAAATTTGCAAAATAGACAGCAACTAAACTAACATAAGTATCACCAAAACATTTGTTAATGATACATTTTCGTGTTGGTGTTGGCAAGTGAAGAGCACGAAAATATTTTTAGTCTTAATACATTATTAATTTAACAAAATAAAACAGAAATCCCATATTAGTTCATCGTAGCGTACCCCCCCCCCCTCTTGTTTTTACCACAGATCCCAACATACTAGATATGACAAAAGATACAAGTTATCTTTTTAAATGGATTTTCATCTTTGCCACAAATTGCATAAGATGTATTAAAAGGATCCGACGAAATATTCCATAGCAGTTGTCGATTAATCTGAGTTATTTGATGCTGGATGTCGAACAAAAATTATAAGTTACCGTAATATAGTATACATACGAGTGTTACTCTTCAACATCAGGTTTACTTCATTAGGTAGTTATAGCAAAGTTTTACTTTTAGTGACTGATTACAGAACATTTTAATTTGTTTTTTAAACCAAAGAAAAGTCATTATATTCTAAATGTAATAATAAATAGAAAAGGATACTGACAAATTCAGCGGAATTTTTAGTCAGCTTTGAGCCATTAATATCTAAATAATGTTTCCATTTTGAAAACCTTATCAACGTACTGAGCATGGGTAACTGGTATTGTGTAACCTTAACAACCGACCATTAATAATGGTTGCAAACCTTTGTAAACATTTGTTTTATTTTGTAGTTGTTCACAAGTGATGCACATAAAGTCGTATACAAATAACTTCAATTACGCAAGCAACTATTCAAAAATGTATATGTTTAGAATCAAGGACATGAGAACCTACTTAGGATAAACTGGGATACAACTTACATGGCTCACGAGTAGCCATTTGGTAAATGCAGCAGATGATAGAGCTGAGCAGTTATTCGACTTGTTTAATCATTTTTGGCAGTTCCAAAAGGAAGATATGTCCAATGATGCATCATTAATGGATCATTTCAAATCTTGTTGTTTTTTTTTTCTGTAAATAACGTAAAATTTTGAAAACAATTATTTTATTTCATGCTGATAAAATGGTTACAACATCAGATCAAAGTTAACTATCTTTATAGCCTAGAGAAAATAAGCTACGTTTTGACCATCTTGTAGCCAAAATTACCTAAAAACTTAATGGTTATCCAAACTTCTAAAGTAAGCTGGATAAAAAAGAAAAGACAAAATTGTAGAAATTAGCTGTTCTGTTTTTATGAATTACTAATTTTGGGATCTTGATTAGCTCTGTGGTTAAATTGTACTAAAATCATTAATCAAACGAATTCTGGTTTATTTTTATTTGTTTCGTAAAATTTGTTGTTCAGTCTATTGTATTAGAACTTTTTCATTGAAAATACATAAATATAAATATTTTATTCTTATCTTGGTATAAGTTCACAAAACTACTTGCTACACTGATGAGTAACTATGAAACCAAATAAAACGTATTTATACAAAAAGAAAGACGAACCTTGGTTTAATTTTTATCTTTATAATGCACTCGCAAGTAACGTAGTTGCTCTAATTTTCTTGTGCTTTCTGAGTGTATGTTTACTGTTAGTAAAAATTACAGAGAAACTGTGCTTTATAACCCAGAATAAAAATGTGTTGAGGAAACATCGAAACTAAGATTTAATTTCATGAGTTAATAATAAAGGTAAATAACTATATAGTGGCAAAATGTTTTTTTTTATTTGCATATCATATATAACGCTGTCGTTCCTTCCTAGTAAATTTACATGTTCGCGTCATTTGCTTTTGGTAAATGTATGTAACCCGGACAGTAGAACAAAGTTTCCCTATTCTTCAGTAAATTAAATGTTATCATAACACATTTTATAAGATTTTAATGTCTTGAAATAGAACATGTGTAAATCCTTACGACGTTCTTTTTATGTATGTCATCAGTTGGTTCTTGTCTTTACAAACGTTAAGATATACATGGCTGGTGATGTTATTCGTTATACAAAATATTAGTTCTTGATGATGTATCACTATTTTTGTTGAAAAAATACAACAGCAAAACATGATTATTTTCTACATTTTATTTGTAGGCGGTTGAATATTTTAACTGCAATTGAACAATTTGTTGAAGTAGGATGGATTCAACTAATATTAAGGTGTTTCTATATTCAATGTTGCATAGAAAAGAGTGAGTTAGAACTGTCATTAGAGTGGTCAAGTGGTGTAGTTATTTTTCAGGATGCGGTTCATTTCACGGTCTGTGTGTCGGATATTGTGAATGAACAAAAGGTCACTTTATATAAAGTAATGTATAAATTAATTTTTCTAAGTGAATCGACTCCTCAAAACACGATTTGGTGTAGTTGTGTCAAAAGGCACATAAGTTGTAATCGCGAGAAAATTACCCAACAGAACGCAGTGGCACAACGGCATTTCTTCGGACTACAACGCTAGAAACCGGGTTTCGATACCCGTGGTGGGCAGAGCATTGTGTAGCTTTGTGCTTAATTACAAACAATCAACAGAACAATAGAATAAGAACATAAAATTTTCTGAATCGGTGATACATTCGTAATCTTTATAGTTATTTTTTAACTTTAATTATGGTTTTTATTTCATCAAAGTGTTTAAGTCCTGAGAGTGAAACAAGGGCTAACGGTAACGAATTAAAACTAAAAACACCTTTATATAACACTCGTATGAAATGCATATTTCAATAATTGTTGGTAGTTACCTTTATTATATCCAGATGCCCCGAATACTTTCTCTTTGTAGACTTCTTTACCAATTACTTAATATCATGAAATACAAAAGTTTATCAAACAGTCACATTGTACATTATATGGGGATGGTTGGGTGTTCAAATGGTAGGAACGAGAAGTTTGATGTAAAATCTAGAAAGCTGAGTTATTTTATTCACGTTCATTGATAAAACTTAATGAGAATGGATACCACGTTACATCGAGTTCGACGTATCTGTTCGGACGCAAAACGTACTCACGTGCGCTTTGTGATCATCTTATTTAGCTTCGTGACCTTTCACCTGAGAGGATACGACACGTAAAGACAAGTTTGTAGAAGTTGGATCCATGAAGATTAACCAGTATGACATTGTACATATTGAAACATTGCTTGAATTAAATATGAATGTAGGGAAGACGCCCTTCCCATTATTAAAGTCAAGTATGATCTTCGTCCTCTTGTTACAAAATTATACGTATAAGGAATCATTTCGAAAGTGAAACTTCACTGACTGGCTAAGCCTCAATGTAGGCACTCTTGTACAGCTACAATATTATTGATTCTCTTTGTTTGAAATGTTATCTCCATCAACAACTGGGACCCCCGATTGGTCAGTGATAGGTTTACAGATTTACAACGTTAAAATTCGGGGTTTGATTCCCCGCAATAGGTAGAGTACAGAGAGCCCACTGTGTAACTTTGAACTAAGAAAACAACAACAACAAGCATTAACCATTGATAAAGTTGGTTCGCAGTTTGCTCTTAATGTTTGTTTTATGAAAAACTATTTTCAGATCTTAATTTTGAACTAATCATTGTGGTATATTTTTATGAGAACACCAGTATAGTGTACAATTCTTTCATAATACTTAAATGGTGTTATTTCGAGTATTGCTTTGAAATATTGTCTGGACAGTGGTGAAAGGTTTGAAGAATGAATGCTATAACCTAAATTTCATTTAACTACAGTCATATGAATTTGTAGGCAGTGTCAAAAGAGGATTTTCTTCTGACCATGAGGTAAGATGGCACTCCAGCAAGGTTATAAAGGCCAGTTCGTATAATTAGCTTATAAAATATACGCAGGCTAACATGCAGTTATATTATTTTTGTTGTCCGTGTTCTTGCATTGTCTGCTGTATTTAGTAATTAAACACTTTGTGGGAGCGCCACAAGCCTCACTCTGCTTCATTGCATATTATGCATGTAATAACAAATGTTATCATACCCACATCTCTCAAATATAAGCAACGAAACAAACTCAAATAGGTATATGCTATAACAACTGTTTAATACAGAGGTAACATTATAAATTCTAATATATTTTAACTTGTTTTGTGTGTATAGAGATTTGACATATCTATTTTCGTCTTCAGCACACATGAAACTAGTGTTTGTAACAGATCTATTAGATTAATTAGAACATTTACTAACTGGTGGGAAGACGAGTTGTTTTTCATTGAAAATACTTAATTTTTTATTTTATTTTTTGGCATTCTCGGCAGAAGTAACTTAGAAATTTTTATAGTTAATTTCTATAACTAAAATCGAGTTTATTCAAGATTGAAATGTGATTTATATTTGATATACCAGGAGTTTTCTGTATATTGTTTATAATGAATAAAATTCATTCCAGTGATAGATGTAAACAGTAGTGTTTGTGGCCCACTTAACTCTTAAAGCATTGTCTTCATTTAAAAGTTTATATTTCTGTAACATTTTCTTAAACTAAAGAATATCATAGTTAAGGGTAAATGTAGAAATATGTATACACGATCGATGTTTTGTCACCTAAACATTCTTTTAGATCTCTCTCTCTCTCTTTAAGTTTTGGAAACTATGTTGTGTAGCATTTGTTTAAGAAAAACACCATATAAAATGTGTAGAGGGATATTGGTGCATTTGATAATGTATAACAGTTTCTATATAGCCTTATGATTTGGTTTTGACCACAAAAGTTAAAATTCAATCTGGTAGTAAAATTAAGCTGAATTTAATTTTTGGTACGTCTTTCTTCCTGTAACAAATGTCAAACTTAAGTAAAGAATTCGTAACACACACACACACACACACACACACACACACACACACATATATATATATATATATACATATACACACACACACACACACACATGGAAATCAGTACCAAACTAACTATACTTAATGCTGTCACTCTTACCAAAAGCAGTTAGAGGCGAATGCCTAGTCAACTTAAGAAAACTCTTCAATTTTAGCCTTTAATTTATAGTGTAATCTTAGTGTTATGCAAAAACTGCGATTACTTTACTTAAGAATGTGCTCCGCCTCTTATGGACCAATCAAAACTAAGTGATCTGCTTAACTGTAGCAGCTTGTGACTATGGCGACCGTCCGGAATTGTAGCACGATGAGAGCATCTGAGAGCACGTCGTTGCATACTAAAGTTTGTATACAATTTATTCTTGACTTTTTTAGCAGTTCAAATGTAAAAAGTTTTAATTACTACAGTGAGGATATATAGAACGTGTACGCTGTACAACGATGTGAGCAAATTGTTAAATTTTTCATAGCATACTTTCCTCTATTAGTATTAGTTTTGTTTAGATACATATATTTTGTGTTCTATTTTGCTTATATTTAGGCTTAGCTGTTTTAACTTGTGTTCTATATTAATCTTTAGTGTACGTGTTTCTAAGTTTGTGTCAGTAAGTAAATGACCAAGTGCCTACTAATTTACCCAGTATTATTTCTACAGAATTATTTCTCAATCTCATTATATAATTTAGCTTTGAACTTTTTACTTTGTTTGTGTATGTTAAAACCTGAGAAACTAGTACTAGTACTACTACTACTACAATGTCAGTACTGGAATTTGGAAAGAAAGATAAGCCTTAAGGTAATGCTGTTTTATGTAATATTTCAGTAGGATATGAATATGAATATTATTTGATATTTAGATTGAACTAAATAGCCTATAATATTGAATCTCATAAATACAAAAAAGTAGGTGTATATGTATATATAAGTATTAGTAAAAACAAAGTAATGAATGTGGTATGGTTTTTAAATAAAGAAATGGGAATACTTCATTGTAGAAAAAACAGAATTAGTCTGAAATATTAACATATAATTAATAACCATGAGTAAGTGTAACTGCATATTCCATTGTTACTCTTTGAATAATGGATTTTCAAAAATTTAGCACTAATTTTAACATTCAAAATAATTTTTGCAAAAGAAGTTACCTTACAGAGCTTATGTATGTTTAATAGCTTGGAAAAAGCAAATGTCAAAATCTGTTACATGTAATATTTAAACATTGTTGTGTGAGTTGGTTTTGCTTGTTTTGAAGATGTAAATATTTAATTTTGGGAGTAGTTACACTTGTGGTAAATCATTATTAGCCATATCAATTAAATTCTGGGATAACTTAACCTAAATGAATTCTAAATGTTATTTTACAAAAATGATATTCATTTTTGTTAGAGAGTAAAGGAAAGGAAACATTATACAGATGACTGCTTGCAAGATGAAGAGATTGAAGGAAGGCGTTTGTTTTCAGTGGAAGAAAAGTTGGCCAGCAATCATTTTGGGTCCTTTTTTGTGAAGGAAATGAAAGGTGAAGGCAAGTATCCCAACAGTATTTATTTTACTTTGTTTCTACAAATTCATATATCTAAAAATACATGTAATTATAGGTAGAAAATTACCAAAACTGTATAGTTTCCATATAGATTTTTCATTTTCAAAATTTTCATATTTACTAAGTCATATTGTTGCTAATAAGAATCAGCATTTTTATGTTAACAGTAATACATGACTGTAGTTAGAGTAATGTGCCATTTCAGATGTTATAATCACTGTATATGAGTTACAAAATTTAAAAAATTTAGTCAGTGTTAAACTATTTGTTTTTGCTATAGATTTTAGTTTGAAATATCTGCAGGAGCATGGCCTGGACTTCCCATTGGTATTTAAGGAAAAGTCTGGATTGGGAATGCGGTAAGTTTAATTTGTATAAGCTTACAGTAGTGTTCAGATATAATTTTTATTTTGAATGAAAAACCTTGGAAGGACAGAGGTACAAAAAAAAGATGTATTACAATAAAATATATGTTAAAATATGTATGCATTAAATCTTAAAATGTTAAGTTGGGGGAGTTTATTAATTCAATAATTAACTGATATTTAAAAACATTACTGTTGTTCTTGCTCAACTCTGCTACTAGAAAAAATGCAACTGTTTCTCATTCTAAAAATTATGCTGGAAATGTTCAAAAACAATACATAATAGCAATACCAGTTTAAAAAAGCAATGAGTATAATAAGATTATATACTGAAAATATATTCAAACTATGTTTAAAACTTTCATCATGGTATTATTTTTTGTTGCAAAATATCAACTTGACTTGTTGTACCTTTAGTGTATGTTCTCAGTTTCATGCTGTAAGAACCAACAATAATCTCCCATCATCCTTGATATTGCTGTTCCATTGTAGAAATATCTTGGTGGAAGCACTCACCATGCTCATCACTCACTGCACCTAAATCATTTAGAAAGAAGTCTAAATGGAAGTGCAAGAAGTGCATCTTTAGTGACATCCTAGACCCCATCTTCCTGTAGTTCTCAATGATATCATCAATCATCACAGATAGTTTTCATCTCTGTGATTTCCTAAGACATATTTGACAACATTTTGAATGATTTCCAGGCAGCAAGTTCTTTCTGATAGAGCACTATTTCAAAATCATCATTCATTAGCATTTCCTGAATCTGTGGCCCAACAAAGATACCTTGTTTCATTTTTGCTTCATTGGTTTTTGGAAACTTGTCAAACAGATATCTGAAACCATTACTACATTTGTTCATTCCTGAGTCCCACTTTCATATGAAGTGGGGGCAGAAACACATTTTGAGGATTCACTAAAGGTTGATACTCTTGTATGTAATTCTCTCTCACTGGCCATTCCTTCTTTTTTGAAATGATTTTTATCATCTCAGCTGTCCCAGAGACACAAAAAGCAACAATGTTTGGTATACCTGCTCTGTAGGCCTAGCAGGAGTGCAATAACTTTTACCACATATATTTCAACTATGGGTATCATATTTGATGGCCTCAATTATAATCTGCATACTTTGATAAGTTTCTTTCATGTTCACAGCATGAGCAAAGGAATCGATGGCTTAGTGTTCCCATTGTGCAAAAGTACACCTTTCAGACTTACTTTAGATGAATTAATAAAAATTCTCCATTCTTGAGGATGGTGTTCAGTACCTAATTCTTCCATTAGTGCATCAACATTTCTACAGAAACAAAAAGTATCTTGCATACTGTTGTGAGGAGCAATACTTTGATGGCAACTTTGGTAAATTGAAACTCGTGTTCCTAGAGCTAATAAATTTAATTGCTGGAAATGAGAGCCAAGAAGTTCCCCATGCTGCTTTGATAGAGACAAGCCACAAATGAGATAACTCTTCAGATGAGGCAGTTTATTTTGAGGTGCCACAGGAATAGAATTACTAGATAAAGAGGATGAAGATGATTCATTGTCTTCTTTGCAGGATAACTTCTGTTTCCCAATTCACTGGTGGATGTGGCACTGGAAGACTATCCCCTTGAGGTACGGGTTTCATTGCAGATGTAATATCTGGATATTTAATATAGTTTTTAGTTTTGCCTGAATATCCAGCAACATTGGTCATGCAAAAATAACAGCCAGTTAGATTATCTTTGGGCTCATGCCATATCATGGGAACTGCAAATGGCATACTTGCTCTCTTCTTATGTAGCCAATGTGTAAAGCCAGATGTGCAGACTGTCAACACACATGTGGAGCCCACTGTTTTTCTAGGTCACCAATTTTACACCCAAAAGAGTGGTAGTAAGCTACCTTTACTTTGCATGTGATGTTTTTTCTTTGTGAAACTGTAATATATGTTCCACAATTGTAGTATAAACTGTTTGGGTGATTTTTACACTTTTGGACTTTACTTGAACTAGAGGCAGCCAGCATTTCAAATGCTTTTCTAAAAGATATAAAATAATGTATGTTTACAGAACTAGAGTTTAAAAGCTTTTAAAAAATAAAAATTTGCAGAATTTGATTATATCACGGGTATGATGTGAGGAGTGGGGAAGAAGATTGGACTTTGTTTTGACTGTGCACGGAGTGAAGCAAAGTGACCAACTGAGTGAGAGAGAGAGGCATCTGACTCTGACCTATTTATGCTCAGTCAAAGGATTTCTCGAATGTTCTAGCAAACTGAGCATATGAGGGTTTCATGATTTTTGAGTGGAGCTGGTGAGCATGGGAATGAAACAAAAGTAGTACAATTTGCTACAGTTATATTGAGAACAAATATCATATATGAACAATATATTTGGAATTTTACACCAATACAGTACAGTCAATGTTTGAAGTTATCAAAAACATATGCCTTTTACTCATTAATCTGTCCAAATAAACTTAATTTCACAACCAGCATAAATCTGTTATACTGAGTTGATTGCATGGTATTTCATATAGTGCTAATAAATATTAAGATGTTACAATAACTCAAAATCTGACTACATTTTTGAAATTAGAACCATCAGATTACCCCAAATCATTTGATTTTTCTCCAGTAGCAAAGTTTTTGTTGTCCAGTGTAATTTAAAAACAGTAAGAGACCTGTTGGTTCATCTAGGCCATTTGATCCACTAAACCAAACTTTAAAAATAAAACATTCAGTGCCAGCCCTTATCATTAATATATTTGTCTAGCTTTGAATTAAACATTCACAAATTAATTTCACCTATCACATATGAAGGCAACCCATTCCTAAGACCAATCATTACATTAAGAAAATAAAGTTGTTTTAGCTGAATATGACTTCTACCTTCCCAAAATTTATATCTATAACCCCTAGTCCTACCATTATCACCATTAAGTACAAATACAAATGATACATTAACACTATCTATTGTCTTAATAATCTTAAATACCTCAGTCAGATCTCATCTAACTCTTCTTTTTTTCAAGAGAAAACAATTTCAGATATCATAACTTGCCCTTGTATGACAACCTTTCCATCCTAGGTGTCATCTTAATAGTTTTCTTATGAACTCTTTCCAAAAATTTAATGTCCTTCTTTAGGTAAGACACCAAAGACTGAACATAGTACTCCAAATTTGATCTAACAAATGACCTATGCAATGAAATTAAAAACTTTTTAGATTTGTATCCAATATGGCTATAGCTAGAGCCTAAAATCCTATTTGCCCAGCTATTAGCATAAGCACAATGCTTGGATGGCTTAAGAGACTGATCAACTAGAACACCAACATAATTTTCTTCTATTACTTTTATTTTGATAAATTTAACATTATTTAATGCTTTTCACTCACAATACCAGAAATTTAGAATAATAATTATTTCCATCAAAAGAGATAAATAATCTTTAAAAGGCCATTGAAAGATCATTTCAATTGACAAAGAAAATTATTTATGAGGTCAAACTAAGGGCCAAAAATTGATTTTTGAACTAGTAAGTTTTATATTGAAATTATTTTCTGCAAATTAATGTGCTAAGAAATGTCATATGGTTTATTTTGAATGTAGTTACATTGTATTGTCTGTTTTAGATCTTTATCTAATGATAAATCTTTATGCAAGTTTTGCTTCTTTAATACATCTTGTTATGAACCGCTATTTTGTGTTTATTTACCAAGTTCAATAAACTTATGAAATAGTAGGGTGACATAATGTAAAATTAAATTACAAAAGAGCTCACTCTTTATGTCAAATAAGTTTGATTTTACCTATTCTGCAAGAAGATTTGTCATTGTTGTAAAGTATTTTCATAAGAAATGTTCAGTTATGATGAAATTGAATGTTCATCAGCAGATGTATTATGTTGCTTTATACTCTGTTTTACAGCATGCCTAGTGATAACTTCACGGTTAATGATGTTCGCCAGTGTGTAGGTAAGTTATTAAAGTCTAAACATTCATAGCATGTTTATAAGTGATGGATAAAACTCAGTTTATATTCCAGTGTAAAATGAACATGTGTTAAAAGTAATTCATAGTATATGTTAGCATGTTTAAAAGTGACAGATAAAACTCGGTTTATATTCCAATGTAAAATGAACATGTGTTAAAAGTAATTCATAGTACATGTTAGCATGTTTACAAGTGACAGATAAAACTCAGTTTATATTCCAGTGTAAAATGAACATGTGTTAAAAGTAAAAATATTTTTATCAGTTTTGACTAATGTGTTTAATTTTTGCATTTCTTCATGAGCATTACTATTTAAAAGTAATAGCTAGCAAGCAACTAAACAGTAAAAAAAAAAAAACATTGTTGTGAATTATTACATAATTCAACCTCATACTTTAATAATTTTTCTTTACTAGCTTGTATGTTTGTATTCTGACAGCATGTATATATTGCATGCATGTTCCACCAGAGTGTAAGTATGGTATCAATGTTCCACGGGATGTTCCCCTAGGCTTTAGATTCCTACATTTGTTCCACAGTTTTGCAGTAGATGTACAAGTTCAACTAGATCAGTATGTATTTGGTATTTACTTTGCAGGAAGCAGAAGGATGCTAGATGTTATGGATGTCACCACACAGAAGGATGTAGAAATGTCTATGAAAGAATGGTGCAAATACTTTGAAAACACAAACCGAGATAAACTCTTAAATGTCATCAGCTTAGAGTTCAGCCATACAAGATTGGAACATTATGTGGAATCACCTACTGTGGTAACGTATTATGAGTAACGTATTACTCTCTTTTTTTTTCTGTAATCTAAATCTTGTCTTGCATGTTTGATATTACTATTGTAACCCTTCCCATATGGGCCTGGCACATTTCACGACCTTCAGCAGTGTTATGTTCAAAAGTCAGTTAAACAAATTATTATTGTGTGTCAGTAAGTTCAGAATGGAAATGTAGTTTACAATTCAAATTTTTATATTATCTAAGTTTTTAACATCTTAGTTTCAAAAAACAATTCTTAATTGTTATGAGTCATTTGACACATCTAAACTCTCATCTCAGATTTCAAATTTTGTAACTTCAAGAATAGGCTGCTGCAGTTTGAAACCAATTAGAAATACAAATAAAATAATTACAAGCAAGAGTCTAAAATTTGCATGTCCTACCTTTCTGCTTTGCTATGAAATCAATACATTTGTCAAACCAGAGAAACCACTCTTCTCTCCTTCTGACTTTCAAGATTGCTTTGCTAATCAACTTTACATGGCTGATGGACATGTTTGTAACTACATGATACTATAACTTGTTCAGTTTTAGCAAGGAAGTATTGGGTTGATAGAAATATTTTGATTTGTTGTGATTGAAAATTTGTTTAACTTACTTATAGCTTGCTTAGAAATAGATTACAGTAGTTTTGTGTTCTAAAGTGCGTATTTGAAAGTTACATATTATTTTTTTGAACATCCAAATTGATGAGACTTGCATATTTCAGTGAAACTTACAAATATTTTTTTCAGGTATATTTCTTAACAAAAGTAATTAAAATGTAAAAGTTAGAAACTTTTCAGTGCAGCCTAACAAAACATCAGTAAAATCAAACATCTAAAACTTCACAAGCTGGCATCTATTTTAAGTACTATTTATGGTAGTTTTTTCTGGGAACAGCTAATGAGCTTAAGCTGTGATTTATTGCTTTTGGCAGGAAGATTTCTGCTCTAGTGGGTACAAAGTACAGCAATAAAACCTTAAAATTAAAAGAAATCAAATGTGAAAAGTTTAACAGTTGAAACTATTGAGTAATTTGGAACTTTTTGATCCTTACTGCAGTCACTGCAGAGGACAATATAGCATTATTCATTTTATTTCATACTTTTCAACTTTTCATTTCACTGTAGATGTTCTAGAGGTTATGCAGATGAAATATTAAAACTGTAAGATGAAAGGAAGTATTTTTATTGTTAATATGAAAATCACCTTTCACTCAGACTGACTCAGTAAAGGATTCAAATATTCACAGACAAATCTTTAGTAAAAAATACTTATTAAAAACCTGATTTTTTTATGTACAACAGACTTTTAAAGTTTACTAAAAGCTTACCAAATTTCATTAACACACACTTAGTAAATTCAGAGTTATAGTAAAAATTTGTGTGAAATGGTACAAAAATACAGGGTCAATCAGTGTGAATGAGCTTGTAAACAGATGGTTGATACATGCTGTTACAAAACTAATATATTATACACATAAACAATACAACACAAAATTAGTGTCTGAGGCGTAGTCATATACAGTTAATAAAATTTCAGTTGTGACAGTTACTTCACTGTTGGCACATTTTTGAGCTTAATGGGAAATACTTTTTTTTCCGGAACTACCGAATTAATATAATGCAACAGAGTACATTGATTCCATCTATATTGTTTTCAAAGCTGTTTAAATGCAAATATTCTTACTTTGTTCTGTTGCTTTTAAAATATTTTGTAATTTTGACTTGAAACTTGACTTGACCACATTTTTGACGAGTATTAAGAAACATAATTACATTAACAAAGAAATAATTGTGTTGTTCATAGATTAAGAATAATGACTACCTTTAATAAGATTTAGTATTAACTGGAAGTGCTGAATAGAGATAAATATGCAAAACTAGAGGGGCACTCAGTAGAGCACATACTTCCACCATGCAGCGTTGATCATATTTGGCTCTCAAAAAATATGAAAATATGTTCCTATGTCCATTATTATAAAGAATGATATTCTACATAAGTCAACCAAGATCCATCAAAATCCAATCATGTTTGACTCAGTTACAGAGCAAAAATAGTGTGAAAAATTGGTCCCCATGTTAACAGATATGGACTTTTTTGATTTTCATGACCTTGCTGTGACCTTGACTCTCCAAAAAACTAATCACTTTTAAGTTGTGTCATAGTTCAAATGTATACCAACTTTTGTTCAAATCCATTTGCCCATTTTTGAGAAATCTTGCTGACAAACACACACACACACACACACACACACACACACACACACACAAATGGGTTAAAATATAATCTCTGTCCACCTTTGGTGGCAGAGGTAACAAGTTCAATAAGGGTTATGCTTTTCAATTCAAATATATTATGTAAAAATATTTGCTAGATAAAAGTAAAAGTAGGTTGGATGTACTTGCTTGGTTTTATGTTATAGTTCTGTGAAAAAAAGTTTTAAAGATGTTGAAAGATTACAGAAACAATTTTCCTTCTTTCTAACAACAGAAGCACTGGGTGTTGTAAGTATTGTAAAAAAAACAGCCTTTTTTTTTTCCTGTGAGAAATATTGACAAAAAAAAAATTGTTTTTTAGAAATAAATTTTGTGAAATAAAACAAAAAGGCCCTGAAAAACTTTTGCAAGAGAAACTATTAAAGGTTAAAAAAACTAACAAACTGATTTCTTATAATTTTATAATTCAGGTACTTAGTTACATAATATTTCAGTTTATCATATGTAATACATATACAGCAATTTGTGGCTATAATTAGTTTTCCAAGTGTGTTTCAAAAGTCAATTAAGTTTAGAAAGAGAGTAATCAAGCATATAAATTTATAGGGTTATCTTAAAAAACATTTTGTGATAATTATTTCTCATAATATTGGTAGTTATCATTAGATTTCTTAAGAGGTTAGTTGATAAATAACTAGAGATGAACCCAGTTTTGAACAGACTGAATACTTAACTCATTGATTACTTTTCTTAAGATGAATTTTGATAACTTTGGGTTACTAAGATGCAGACAAAATCCAAAACATTGTAACCAACGTACAAGTGATGTGTGTTATCAGGTTCGTCAGGTGGACTGGGTAGACTGGGTATGGCCTCAGCATCTCAAGGAAAGTCAGACAGAAGCAACTAATGTCATAGAAGAAATGAAGTATCCCAAAGTACAAAAGTATGATTTTTTTAAACAGTTATAATATGTATATATATCTATTTGTAAACATTTAAGTGTGTACAGTGTTACTGTCTTTATAAAACAATCATTATAATTGCAAGTTATTAAAATGTAGTTGGAAACTTGTTGTAAACTTTTTTAGAATTAATATACTTATAATGTTTACTGTATTTTTACCATTATTTTTATGTACAGTGATTGTGATTAAACTTTATTTTCCATTTTCTCTCTCTTTCTCCCCCCACTCTTTTTATTTTATAGTAGTGTATCACTTTCTGAATTTGAGTATGCTCTCTTATTTTGACAAGCTTCCTAGACATTCAAAACAAATATTCCTTATTCTTTAATTCAAAATTGGACAGTTATATTGTTTAGTTAAAATATCTTTTTGTTTCTTTTTAACACTTGATTATGCGGAGTTTCTAGAAATTATCACAAAGCATCCCAAACTTTGTTATTTAGCCGTAAACAGGAAAACTTCAAGAAGAAATAAAAATCTGCAGCTGGTTATCTTGGCAACAAGCAATGATAAGCTTTTTTTTAGAAAGTAGTTCTATGCATACTTCTTGAACAAAGCTACTTTGATGTAAATTATATAAGAAATTAACTATGTGACCTTAGGCTAGAGGAAGTGAACTAAAACAAGTCTTTACAGCAACTTCATAGTGATCGGGTAAGGTTCCAAACTGGCTGAATAAAATATGGGCGAAAAGTAGTTTTAATATGGTACTCTACAACAAATTATTTTATTTGTATGCATTATATTTATGTAATTGAATTTTCTGTCAATTCAGGTATTGTCTTATGAGTGTCAAGGGGTGTTACACGGACTTTCACATTGATTTTGGTGGGACATCAGTCTGGTATCACATCATTAGGGGAAAGAAGGTAAACATATTATTGACTGATTCACTCAGCTTTTACTTTTTATATAATGATGTTGAATTGTATGGTTACCCATTTAGAAAACAAAATCATTTGCTAAATGTTTGTTTTTAAGTTTAAATAACTCCTAATAATAATAATATACATAAAACTGACCACTCTGAATTTAGAATAAATCAAATGTGATGAAATTGTAAATGTTTTTAAAGTTACTGAAAGGAACTAAATAGTTTGTTGCCAAGAAAGAACAAATTGAGCACCTCTGTTTTCTGGATTTGTAACTGAGGCAGCTGTAAATAACTAGTTGTGAATGAAGAGAAGCTTGTGGTTCCATATTATTCAAATACTTTAACATTACTAAAAATCATGAAGCACCTTCTTCTTCATTGACTATAGTATATAATAACTTTTCAGTATAACATCCCCACATGCATACAGATCCACAATATTTTCTATATATATATATATATATATATATATATATAC